CCCTCTTACTATTGCACTCAGGACAGAATTTTACAGTTGGTGGGACTGCCATTGCAATTCTCTAGATGACCAGTCCTTCAAAAGGGCCTGAAAAAAGATCACTGGACCTCAAGTGTTAGCTCTGCTTTCTCTGCAGAGATGCTGCCAGACTAGCTTAATTTCTCTAGCAATTTCTGCTTTTGATCTCACCTCAATTGAGGCAGTTAGCTGGTCAGTTGACATTGCCATGGGACTCAGGTTTCTTCTTGCTGTAAATTTATGGCCAGAGAGCGTGAGAGATTCACACAGATTTGCCCCAGTTTGTGTCCCATCCTATCCAGGTCCCTTCTCCAAACATGTCATATCCCTTCTTTACCAGGAGACCATCTATTCTTACCTAGTCCTGAACTCCCAGGATTTTGAATTTGGGGAGTGATTATAATCCCAGTGCTGGCCACTGCTGGGACTGCAGAGTGGCTTACAAATCTAATTCTTTGGTGGCTTCCTCAGAGGGGAGTTATATTCTTAGTCACATGGGGTTCCTGTCCATTCAATTAATATTGCGAAAATTGTTCATTGGCTATGGGTTAGTTGTGATTGGTGTGGATATATTCCTGAACAGCCATTCAATTCGCCTGTTATCGAACAAATCCAGTGCGTGCGCATGTCTCATTTTCTCCTTCCTTTCTTACTCGTGCATTGTGTGGATTTGGAAATATTCTTGGAGATGGACCGGGATCAGCTCTTGGTAATCAGAAATGCTTGTTGAACTATAGTAATGAAGAGAGGGAGCGATCACTGTGTTCGAGCAAGTCCTGCTGCACAGTGTTATGTGGCCTGACACCACTTCCATGTTTTTATCTGACATTCCGTTGATTGCTGCTCCGTTGATATACCTGCCCCAAGTCGCCTTCCTGCTCTGAATGCTTATTCTTTCCCATTGTTGATATATTTGCATTTTTCCCCCAATCGACATACCTGCATTTTTCCCCCATTGACGTGTTTGCATTTTTATATAATTAGCATATCATTATCAACAGATACAGATCTCATTCCACTCCATGCCATGTCTTTCGTGGTGAGGCTTTAATGATCACCATATTTTCTCCTGTTTGAGGTGCTTCTGGGTATGTGCTTCCTTCTCAGGAACAAAGATAATTATTTTTCTTTGCGTGATGAAATGCTTGCCCAATGTCATGGTGCTGCTCCTGGTTGGATGACCCGTTTGTCATGTTGTACAGTCCAGTCTGGTTGGTGGTCTTGCGGTCTAACATGAGCATGAGCGTGACATCCCAATGGTGTCAGTTGTCTGGAAGGAGATGGTTGATGACCATCCTGCAGCACCCCGAGTGGTGTGTTATGCAACTCTTCCTAGTGGAGTTAGTCTGAGGATACCTGCAGCTGTGGGTCCATCTGGGCTATTTCTGGTCTCCCTGCTGGGCTATTTCTCCTCGGAATTGCTCTTCAAGTGTAAAGAAGACATCACAGAAGCTGCAAGCATGCCTCATGAAAACCTGTTTCTCAGTAGAAGTTCCTGGGAACCTAATAAAGTCATAAAGATGTACAGCACGGAAACAGATCCTTCAGTCCAACTTGTTCATGCTGACCAGATATCCTAAATAAACCTAGTCCCATTTGTCAGCATTTGGCCCATATCCCTCTAAACCCTTCCTATTCGTATACCCATCCAGATGCCTTTTAAATGTTGTAATTATACCAGCCTCCACTACTTCCTCTGGCAGCTCATTCCATACATGCACCACCCCCTGCATGAAAAAGTTGCCCTGTAGGTCCCTGACAAATCTTTCCCCTCCCACCTTAAACCTATGCCTTCTAGTTTTTGACTTCCCCCGCCTAGGGGAAAAGACCTTGTCTATTTACCCTGTCCATGCCTTTCATGATTTTATGAACCTCAAATAAAGACACCCCTCAGCCTCTGATGCTCCAGGGAAAACAGCCCCAGCCTCTCCCTACAGTTCAACCCCTCCAATCCTGGCAACATCCTTGTAAATTTTTTCTGAACCCTTTCAAGTTTCACAACGTCCTTCCTCCAGCAGGGAGACCAGAATTGCACACAGCACTTCAAAAGTGGCCTAACCAATGTCCTGTACAACCACAACATGACCTCCCAACTCCTATACTCAAGGCACTGACCAATAAAGGCAAGCATACCAAAAGCCTTTTTCACTATCCTATATACTTGCAACTCCACTTTCAAGGAGCTATGAACCTGCACTCCAAGGTCTCTTTATTCAGCAACAGTCCACAGGACCTTACATTTGAGTGTATAGGTCCTGCCCTGATTTGCCTTACCAAAATTAATCTCCATCTAAATTAAACTCCATCTGTCACTCCTCAGCCTATTGGCCCATCTGATCAAGGTCCCATTGCACTCTGATTTAATAGTTTCTAAATACTGTTATTTTTGTCTACCTGATACAACCTGAAAAGTGGGCTTGTGACCATATTCCTGAGATGTGAACCCAAGTGAATTGGAATCCGAGGTGGCCATCTATGATCAATCATTGGCTGTCAGCAATTTGGCTTCATTTGAGCACACATACAAAGCCATCACATTTTATCCTTTGTTTCCAGAACCTTGGCCCACATCATCTCACCAGAGACTTGAATTTTTGAGTTGAGGGTGTGCCTGTGTTTGGTACAAGTTAATTATGGGATATAGCTTAAATGTTAATCAGTAGCTTCCACTTGCTTTTAGAATTTTTTGTTTATAATAAATGGGATATTTTTGAGTTCATTAAAGAAGAATGATCAATGTTTCTTTTGTTCCTTGTAGAAATACAAAAAAAAGGCATTTAGTCATTTGGGTGATTGATTGAACACACTAACATTGTGACTGTTAGGGTAGTGGGGTTTGATTATCAATACATTCCTCCTGTCACAGCCATGACAATGGGATACTCCTTTTGAAACTTGGCCGCTGGATTTCCCTTCCTTTCCTCAGGAGAGGAAACATTCTGTTGAAGTGTGTCACGGCCGTTCAGAATCCTGCATGTTTCAATAAGATTACTTCTCGGTCTTCTAAACTCCAGTGAGTATAGGCTCAGGCATATGTTTACGTGTCTCTCACTCGCATTCTGTGCAGGTACAAGTGTCTGTCTCTTTCTCACAGCCCAGGACATGATTGCAGTTGAACTTTGCCTTTATTTACTGTATATATGTTGGTAAGAATTAAAATATTATTGAATTCAGCAGTATAATTTCCATGTTATATTCCCAGATTTATCGCCATGGAGACCGCTCACCAATCAATAAATACCCTACAGATCCATACACGGAGGAGGACTGGCCACAAGGCTTTGGGCAGCTTACTCAGGTCAGTGCTCTTTGCCCCTCTCTGTATTGAGTCTCTGTCCTTCCGTCTCACTCCCACCCCTCCAACCTCCTCGCAGTGTCTTCTTCCTCACATTCTGATTGGAGAGCTGCTCTCTGAGGGTGGTCCGCTGCTGTGTGAGTGGTCATCATGAAGAATGTGGTACCTCAGACTCTGCACATTGTTGCAAGATGGATCCTTGGTACGGCTCCATATGGTGCAGGATGCATCTGGCAAGTTTACTGCCAAAGTTTCTCTTTCCTGTGGAGATCTACAGGGCCTGCTTGGTCTGGTGTGTCAGAGGGAAATCAACTGATTTTCCAATGAGAAGAAGTTCTTATCTTAAACAACACAGTATGAAAGCAATTTGACCCTAGTTACACTAATATGACAGTCCTTGTTACAGAAACTTTAACGGAGAATTCCTTGTTGCACCTCACTCGTTGGACATCCAAAGTTGTTACCCCTGCTGCCCGAGTCCATTTGACTTCTTCATGGTAGGGGATGCCCAGTTGTTATGGATTGGGAGAGTGTTGTTTAAAATCCTTTTATTTTTCCTCCTTTCCTTAGCGTAAACAGCAGTTTAATTTTCCATATTTCTTTTCCCTAACCACTACAGTGCGGGAAGAGGCCATTCGGCCCATCAAGCCTGTGCTACTGTTCAAAGACCATCCTACCCAGACCCAACCCCATCCTACCCTGTCAGCCCACATTTATCGTGGCTAACTCACCTAATCTGCACATCCCCAGACACTAAGGGGCAATCTAGCATGGCCAGTCCACCTAACCTGCACATCTTCGGACTGTGGGAGGAAACTGGAGCACCCAGAGGAAAGCCACACAAACACAGTGCAAACTCCACATAGAAGTCACCCAATGCTGGAATTGGACCTGGGCCTCTGGTGCTGTGAGGCAGCAGTGCTAAGCACTGAGCCCTGTGCTGTGCACTTTTGAAATTGGTCATGTTGTGTTGCTCTGTTTTACCTTGTGCCCACCCCAACATCCTCTGTGTGAAGTCCAATTTATATTTTAATGACATGCAGAAAATTGTCTTTGGGGTTAAAACATAGGTCAGGTGATGGCCTAGTATTATCGCTGGGCTATTAATCCAGAAACCCAGGTAATGTTCTGGTGACATGAGTTCAAATCCTGCCACAGCAGACAATGGAATTTGAATTCAGTAAAAATCTGGAATTAAGAATCTAATGAAGAAATCATTTTGATTGCTGAAAAAACCCATCTGGTTCCCTAATGTCCTATTGGGAAGGAAATGACCCGTCCTTACCCAGTCTGACCTACATGTGTCTCTAGACCTGCAGCAATGTGGTTGACTCTTAATGACCCTGTGGGCAATTAGACATGGGCAATAATTTCTGACCTAAATCAGCAGCATCCACATCCCGTGTACAAATTAAAAACAAAACACAGGAGAATGCTTCATTCATGCTCAAGCCTCAGGTCAATGAACAAAAGAATGCATGCTTGGAAACACAAACCTCAAGAACATGGCCATTAATTCATGGCTCAGTCCTGAAAGCCAGTAAGTAGGTGTGTGCAGTTAGTTGACCTCATGGAATCCCTACAATGTGGAAACAGGTCCTTCGGCCCAACAAATCCACACCGACCCTCGGCATCCCAACCAGACCCATCCCCCTATAACCCACCTAATCTACGCTGTGGGCAATTTAGCATGGCCAATCCACCTAACCTGTACATCTTTGGACTGTGGGAGGAAACCCATGCAGACACGGGGAGAATGTGCAAACTCCACACAAACAGTTGCCCGGGGGTGGAATTGAACCCAGGTCCCTGGTGCTATGAGGCAGCAGTGCTAACTACTGAGCCACCGTGCCATCCGAACTGTGCTGACTTCCTTTTTTAAAGTTGATGAAAGCACGCTGACATCAGCTTGACACCCACTTTTCCAGCAGATAAAAGGTTTCTGCCAGAACTAGATTTCGAAAGAGATTTGGGTAAAATGCAGACTTCGGCTGTGGTGTCACAATAGATTCAAATAGGCTTGATGTTAACGACTAAAATTGCCTCTCACTAAACTGAAACAAAGATTCACAAACTGTGCAATGAAGCCTTTAATTGAAGACCAGAGGATTTTGGTCATGTGTCAGGGTTCCTGGATTTCAACCAAACAAGGCTGTTTCTGTGTAACAATTGGTTTTTATCTGTCTAATCAGAACTGGTAATGGTTTGTATGAAATTGACAATGAGCTTATTGGGCCTCTTTGAGCATACTGAGTTTTAGTAGCTGCCCTTTGTTTTGGGCTGAGAACCCTAATAGCTCATGCTGCTGTCTGTCTGTCTACATCTCCAGAGGATGCTGACAGTTGTAGGGATTGTGAATCCCACCCTTTATGATTGTAAGCTGACATCCGGTGTTGACTGGTCTCCTCCAGTAATGACCAGGGATTTCTGCTGCTCTTTTCTAGGTTGGGATGAGGCAGCAGTATGAGCTGGGCCAGTTTCTGCGAGAACGTTATAAAGATTTCCTCAACTCCTCGTACGACCGGCAAGAGGTGAGGGGCTGAATGGTCTGTAGGACCTAGAGAATGCAAAATGAGACCACGGGAATGAGAGGAAAGAGGAGGGGTCCTCTGGCTGCAGGTGGGAGATGGAGTGGGGAAGGAAGGGAGAACCGCACTGTACTCGTTGGGATTAGGAGAAGGGGAGTTTGCAGCAGTGTTTTGATTGAGATGAAGAGGAGACTTTGATTGGGGTATAATGATGGCAGAGGTGGATCATAAATGAGGGAGGACGGATGGCTTGGAGCTGGGCAGTGGGGAATAGATGGAGGTGACAAAGGATGGTATGAAGTTAGGAAGTAGGAATGGGGATTACAAGGATAACTTGAGGGCGTATGGGAAAGGAGGGGTGGTCTGGAAAGTGTATGGGGAGGAAAGGGGGGCCTGGAGAGCATGTGGGGAGAGGCTCGGAGAGCGGATGAGGACGAATTGGGAGTCTCCCAAAGAAATTACATGTCATGGTCTACTGTACCTGTGCCACTGCTCACCACAGCATTAATATCATTCATTATTAATAAAGCTATCCCACCTGGTTTTCTGTTTTGTCTATTCTTCTTGAATATTGAATTCCTAGTTTTAGACACTACAACCGTATAACCAGACTAGCTGGTAAGTCAGAGATAGTAGGAACTGCCGATGCTGGAGTCTGAGATAACAAGGTGTGGAACTGGATGAACCACAGCAGGGCAGGCAGCATCAGAGGAGCAGGAAAGCTGACGTTTCGGGTCTGGACCCTTCTTCAGAAAATTATTATGTCATATGGGATTACTTCTATTTGTGCTGTCAACTCGTCTATCTTGTTGTGAATTCAGTGCTGTGTGAATTCAGATAGTGAGCCTGAAGCATTGAAATTGTACTATGTTCTAATGTCTGCTGCACTCTTTGTATTTTCTGTCTCATTTTCTTTATTGTTTGATTCTTCACAACCTTGCACGTCGACTCTCTCGTTTCTTTTTGATGTTATAAAATTCCTTTCAGTTGAAAACGCACCACACCCTAGTTATAAAGTTCAGCAGGACATTGGTCCCAGTGTGCTTCAAATGAAGCCCATCCCAACAGAGCAGCTCTCTGGTTCCCCAGGATTGATATCATGCCCCATGAATCTGAACCAAACTTTAAGCCACGCACTTACCCCTCTAATCTTATTCTTACCCCTCTAATCTTAAGTGGGTCAGCAGAGCTTCTCTACCAGTCCTGTCTACATTGTTGACACCTTACAGGGGCCGTGACAACTGGATCCTTCCCCTCCTGCTCCAACTTCTTCTCCAGTGAAGAAAAGGTGTCATGAGCTTTGTCATCAGGTAGGCAACACAACCATTGGGACTATCAGAACACCTCACCTTCAGAGCTGTACTCCTGTCTGAAACCCTCGCACTCGTTTTAGCCCCAGACACATAGGATCATAGAATCCCTACAGTGTGAATAGAGGCCATTTGGCGCATCGAGTCTGCACCAACCTTCAAGAGCATCCCACCCTATCCTCGCATTTAATACGTCTAATCCACCTTGCGTGCAGATTCCTGGATGCTGTTGGGCAATTTAGAGTGGCCAATCCACCTAACCTATACATTTTTGGACTGTGGGAGGAAACGGGCACCTGGCGGAAATTGCGCAGATGTGGGGACAACTCCACGTAGACAGTCACCCAAGGCTCGAATCTAACCCTGGTGCTGAGAGGCAGCAGTGCTAATGACTGAGCACCCTTACCACCCTGAACACTTTGTGCTTCTTTTAGCCTGAATTCCTGCCCGAACCTGTCACTTTTAGCCCCGGACTCCTGGCGGCTGGAAGTGGCAACACAAGCCATGGAGCCCCCAAAGAACGGTAAGGTGCCACCCTCCAGCAAGAAAACCAAAACAAGGGGCACCCAGAAGGAGGGACAGGTCAGAGAGGAGGAAAAGGTATCCAACGCGAAGGCACTGCAACCAACCCAAACACTACCTGAACAGATGGAATCAACAAAGGATGAAGAAACAAAAGGGATGGAGGAGTGGATACTGGTGAGAAACATCTGGGAAAGGAAACCATGTCGGGCCCACAGCAAAATGGAAAGAGGTAGTTCTGTGATGGACACACCAGCAGTTCCTCTGACGATTATGACACGCGGCGTTACCAACAGTAAAAGAGGCACAGGACCAAGGTAGAGAAGGAGAGGAACACCCCCTCCCCCGAAACACTGGATGTTGCGAGGGACCCAGTGAAACCCAACCTCCAGCCATCGGGAAGCACAGGATAGCCACCACAGCGCAGCTCCAGACAACCAGGAATGGTGAAACCCCGAATAAGGAGATGAACATGACAGCACCAAAAAGAGAGAATGAGAGGAGCATTTCCCAACCCGGAAACACCGGATTTCGTGAGACACTCCAAGCTGGACCTTCCTGGCTTCTTTCTCGTCCCGGCAACGCCAGATCACCAGTCCCCCAGGGAGGAACAGGACAGCTACCTCGCTGCTGAGAGTTTCCAGCAGTTTGCCCACACTGCAGGGATGAGGGGAGGCCCCCAGTGGCAAGATCGTGGGTGAATGGACATTGGGCTCTACGGGTAACTCTCAAAATGGCTTTTAAAATTGCCAGTATTAATGTGCATAGTGTTAAATCCACTACGTGCTATGTTTCCATGTTGGGTTACCTGGCCAACGTCAAAGCAGACCTCCTGTTTCTGCAGGAGTGTGGGATACTGCACCTCAGCAGCTACAGGAAACGGTCCACAGACCTATGGGCCTTCGGTTTGGTTGTGGGGGCACGTTTCTTCTGGTCTGGGTATTCTGCTGCGAGGAGGCAACTTCACTATCTCCGAGGTCAATCATAGAACCCCTACAGTGTGGAAACAGGCCCTTCGGCCCAACAAGTCCGCACCGACCCACAGAGTATCCCACCTAGACCCATCCCCCTATAAACCACCTAAGCTACACATCCCTGAACACTACGGGCAATTTACCTAACCTACACATTTTTGGACTGTGGGAGGAAACCGGAGCACCCGGAGGAAACCCACGCAGACACTGGGAGAATGTGCAAACTCCACACAGACAGTTGCCCGAGGGTTTAATCAAACCCGGATCCCTGGCGCTGTGAGGCAGCAGTGCTGACCACTGAGCCATGATGGCACATGACTCCTTGTGGCAGACATTGTGGACAGAAATGCACCCTGAACTAATTAACGTGTGTGCCCCGGCGGTAAAGAGTGAGTGGCTGTCTGTCCTGCAGCTGCTCCCATTGATGTTGGTGATGTCCAGGCTGGTCATTCTGGCCAAAGCCTTCAACTGCATCATCGATGTGGATGGGATGATCTGGACGGGCTGAGAGCAAACCAAATCTACATCAAGACTCCTGATGGAAACGGTTAAAGTTGCCAAACTGCATGGTATATTAACACTCCCGCAAACAGAGTGCAGCATAGATACATCTGGTCGCGGCCAGACGGGTCTATCTGCTTAAGGATTTCCTGTTTGCGTTCTGCACGTTCTTAGTCAGATCCACTGATGTTGAGCCAGTGTTCTTCTCTGACCACTGCCTTCTGCTGGCAGACTGCTACCTTCAGGATGACCTGTGGGCTGGCAAGGGAACATGGAAGCTGAACATGAAACTGCTAATCCAGAGCACATTGAGGAACTCAAAAGCGATTACACAGGTTGGAGAATCATGAAGCCCTTCCTTGAATCTCTAGTGGACTGGTGGGAAACAGTCGAGGGGAACATCAAGAGGTTCTTCATCCTCAGAGGTGTTCAGACATACAGGGGAAAACTATCCAAACTCTAGAAAACATTGCAGAACCTACTACTGCTGCAGACGGTGGGGGTCAATGAGGATCTCCAGGAGGTGAAGAGTCAGCAAGCTTCACTCTTTGCCTTGGAGGCCTCTAAGATAAACATCCAGTCCAGGATCCACACCCTGGAGCAGGATGAAAGGTGCCCATGTTTCTTTATCCGAGGAGAGTTCTGTGTTCAGTAGCCTAAAGGAAGAAGATGGCTCGGTAACGTCATCTCAATCTGACATCCTGAGGATCAGCAAATCCTTCAATGTCAGAATAAATGACACTAAGCCCACAGACAGCAAGGTCTCCCAGTCATTCCTGTCTTCTCTCATGGAGGTCTCAGCTGACAGCATGTGGGAGAGGCTGGGTTATATCTGGGTGACCTGACCATGGCTCTCAAGTCCTTAGAAAAGGATAAAATTCCCGGAAGCGCTAGCTTACCGTCTGAGTTCTATTCAGCTCTGTGGGACTTGATTGGCCAGGACCGGCTGGAGGTATATGACTATATGCTTGAGGCAGGTAGCATGTGCGAATCCATGAGGAAAAGTATCATCACCCTCATGTACAAGTGGAAGGGGGAGAGAGCGGGAAATTAGAAACTGGTGACGAATTTCACTGCTAAATGCAGATTACAAAATGTGTCCCTGATCAGCGCCCAAAGGGTCAGGTCTGCTCTGGGATTGGTGAATCACCCCAGCCAAACCTGTGCTGTACCATGCAGGATGATCACTGAGAGCCTCATGCTCCTCAAGGATATGATTGACTGACTACATTCAGAACAGTGGGGTAGATGCCTGCCTCATCAGCCTGGACCAGGAGAAGGCTTTTGACAGGATATCGCACACCTACCTGTGAGACATGTTCTCCAAATGGGCTTTGGGGAGGAAATCAACAATTGGATCCTACTGCTCTACACCAACATCATTAGTGCAGTCTCAATCAATGGGTGGGAATCAGAAAGCTTCTCGATCAGATCCGGAGTCATGCAGGGGTCCCCATTCTCTCCTACCCTGATTGTGTGTTGTTTCAAGCCCTTTGCTGAGTCCAGCTGGAAGGATGTGAGCCTGAGAGGGATGACTATTCCAGGCAGGGGAGGCCTGCAGGTCAAAGCCTCCCTGTACATGGATGATGTCACCGCCTTCTGCTTGCGTCCACTGTCAGTGTGGAGACTCATGAGCCAGTTCGAATTGGCCTCTGGAGCCCAGGTAAATTGAGGCAACAGCGAGGTCATATTCTTTGGGAACTGGGCCGCTGATCCTTTATCCCCTTTACCATCAAGACAATTACCTGAAGATGCTGGGAATATGGTTCATAGAACATAGAACAGTACAGCACAGGAATGGACCCTTCAGCCCATGATGTTGAGCTGAACATGACTTCAGATTAAATTAATCCCTTCTGCCTGCTTTTGGTCCATATCCCTTCATTCCCTGCATATTCATGTGCTTATCTAAATGTCTCTTAAATGCCCCTATCATAGCTGCCTCCACCACCACCCTTGGTAGCATGTTTCAGACTCCTACCACTCTGTGTAAAAAAAAAACAAAAACGTGCTCCTCGCATCTCTTTTGAATGTCCCCTCCCCATCACCTTAAATGCATACCTCCTAATTTAGACATTTCAATTCTGAGAAAAATATTCTGATCGCTTACCCTGTCTATGCATCTCATTATTTTATAGACTTCTTCTATCAAGTCTCCCCGCAGCTTCCACCGCTCCAGTGAAAACAACTCGAGTTTTTCCAGCTCCTTATAGCTCCTGCCATCAACTGTATAGTTTTCCTTAACATTTGATCTCCCAAAGCACAATGTCTCACACTTGCCCGGATTAAACTCCATCTGCCATTTTTCCACTCATATCTGCAACTGATCCATATACTGCTGTATCCTTTGACAACCTTCATGACTCCACTGATCTAACCCACCTATATACATTTTCATCCAAGTCATTTATATATATCGCAAACAGCAGAGGTCCCAGTACAGATCCCTGTGGAACGCCACTAGTCACGGACCTCTATCAAAACAACTTTATCAATCACTATCCTTTGCCTTCTTCAGGCAAGTCAATTCTGAATCCATGCAGCCGAGTCACCATGGATTTCATGCACCTTAAGCTTCTGGATGTGCCTACCATAATGGACCTTGTTGGAAGCCTTCCTAAAATCCATGTAGACAACATCCACTGCTCTACCTTCATCAATCACCTTCGTCACCACCTCGAAAAATTCAGTTGGATTAGCAGACATGACCAGCCCCCTGTCATGCTGTCTGTCCCTAATTAGGCCATGCTTTTCCAAATGCCTGTAAATCTTATCCCTAAGAATTCTCCCCACTAGCTTCCCAACCACCAAAGTGAGACTCACCAGTCTGTAGTTTCCTGGATTATCCCTATTTCCCTTCTTGAACAAAGGAACAACATTAGCTACTCGCCAGTCCTCCAGGACCTGTCCAGTAGAATGGATGGACTGGATGTGCGCAAAGTCTTGGGAAAAGTATATTGCCAAGGTGAAGCAGAAACTTGGCTTTTGGGAGCACTGCTCCCTCTCCATTGCAGATAAAAACCTGGTCATCAGATGTGAGGCACACTTTCTGTTGTTGTGTGTGGCGCAGGTCTGGCCCATTGCCCACAGTGGGAGGCAATGGCCTAGTGGTATTGTCACTGGACTGTTAATCCAGAGACCCAGATATTGTTCTGGGGACCCAGGTTCAAATGCCACCATGGCAGAATCTGGAATTAAGAATCTAATGATGACCATAAACCATTGTCGATTGTCAGGAAAACCCCATCTGGTTCACTATAGAAGGAAACTTCCATCCTTATCTGGTCTGGCCTACATGTGACTCTAGACCCACATCATAATGGTTGACTCTAAATTGCCCTCTGGGCAATTAGGAATGGGCAATAAATGCTGTCTGATCAGCGATGCCCTCATCCCATGAATGAATAAAGGAAAAAAAAGAGGCCATTGTAATTACGCAAGCCATCTTCTTCTTCATCTGGAGGTTTAAGATGGACCATGTCCGCAGGGATACCAAGTGCAAAGCTCTAGATAAGGCGGGGGATAAGGCAGCCCTCATCCCGATGACTAACTTTGTGGACAGTCACAGCAAGCTGTGCATAGACCCTCAGTACTGAGGTTCGACATGTCTCCGGTGTTGTAAAGGCCTGGCCTCGTTGCTGCGGAACTCTCGAAGTAGTTTGACCATTCCATATCACTTGTTCTTGGTGGAGAAATTTGCAAAGAAAACCACCGTTGACCACAGTCCACCAGGAAGTGGTCAGCATGTGAGCGTCCTCGAGATCATGTGGGAAAAGGATAAGGTGGATCCTGATGCATTGTTCCCTGAGCAGACTGTCAAAGTCATTTGGCAGAATACCTTGTCGCTAGAACTTTTCAGCAAGCACCAGGACATCGCTTGGCTGGTGGTGAGAAGGACTGTAAGATCCTTAATCTAGCACCACTGCATGTTTCCCTCAAAGTGGCTGTGGTGTGGTACAGACTGTCACAGATCTCCTGGAAAGTGCCTTTGCAAAGGACGTCTGGAGAGGTGCAGTGGTTTTTTGTCAAGATTTGTCCTGATCAACTCTGTGAAGCATGACTCTGTGCTCTAGGGTCTGTTCTCCGGGACATATCCTGAGACAAACATCAACTGCGCCTGGAGGACCATCAAATCGATGAAAGACACTCTTTTGTCTACGCGAAACTTGCTGGTCTTCCAGAGCATGGAACTAACTTCAGCCGAATGTGGTAAACTGGCAATTTCCAAGGTCCAGGACTACATTAGAGACAAAAATACTGCAGATGCTGGAATCCAAGGTAGACAAACAGGAGGCTGGAAGAACACAGCAAGCCAGGCAGTGTCTGAAGGAAAGGATCAGTAAACATGAGGTTGTAGACATGCCAAGCCAGTGGGTTTGATTGCAATCAAACCCACCGGCTTGGCGAGCATGTCTTCGACCTCATCCACAACCCGAGCTACAAATCTTCTCTCAAACTTTGAGCTCCTTTCCTTCAGATGCTGCCCGTTTTGCTGTGTTCTTCCAGCCTCCTGTTTGTCTATCCAGGACTACATGCTGAAGGATGCACCACAGCTTGGGCAGCAATCGCCAAGGCATAGTAGAGAAAGGCCACCATCTAAGGTCTTTCTGCCGAAGTTAAATAGGGGTCCGTTCAATTATTGAACCCTTGCGATCCCTGAAATATATGTAAATATAATCTTGTATAAAAAAGAAATGCCTTCGGTTTGTTTGCTGGATAGAGTCAAACTCCAATATTTGTTTATTTTTTCAGAACAAAACTGCTTTACTAAATATGTATGTATATAGTGTATATTTTTGAAATAAATCACAGGGTGAGCTGAATTTGAGAGTAAAAGCTGCCTCGCCTGATTAATTCACAGTAAACCCAGGAAGAAATGCTGGGTCTTTACACAACTGTTTGCTCCTCTAAATGCTCACGCTACTTTTAGCCCCAAACTTTAGTCTGAGCTTTTGCATGGCCTTTAGTTCCGCATCCTCAGAACATTGCACTACACTTGAAGAATATCAAGGTTTTGGAGAGGAATTTGGTGGGAAGATTTCAGTGATGTGGAGAGATTTGAGAAGCTGGGCTTGTTCTCCTCAGAGCAGAGAGGATTAAGAGGAGATTTAATGGACACATTCAATGTAATGGAATAAATGGACAATATCAAAAACAGCATTTCCAATAAATGGAGCATAGAGAGCATAGGTTTGGGATCATTGAAAGAGAAAGGAGATGAGAGGAACATTTTTACAGAGTTGCTGTGACCTGGCCTAAAAGGGTGACAGAAGCAGGTTCATCAGAAACATTCAAAGGGAGATTACACAAAACACTTAAAAGAAACAAATTTATAGGGCTTTGGGGAAGGGATGGGCAGATAGGACTAACTAGATAGTTTTGCGAAAGAACCAGCAAAGTCATGATGGGCTGAATGGGATCATTCTGCGCTGCCATGTACTCAGTTGTTTCAGGAGAAGCACCCCAATAAAGGAACAATACAATCTGTCCTTGCACTGTGCTTGGTGGCTGGACACTAGTCTTCCCTCTAATTTTCATTCTGGTTGTGTGGGCCTCTGAAGTCCATGCATCACAGCAACTTCAGGAACAGGAAGTCAATGCTGTGGTCTGCATGCTAATCTTCCACACAGCTTACAGGAACATTCTGGACACCACCGTCAATGAGCCTAGCCTGTCCACGTCCCAGCATCTAGGCACTCAGTCTGTCACAGCTTCGGTGAAACACGCGTCATCTTCAGTCATGGCCATCATAATGCACAATGCCTACTGGGAAGGTGGCCTTTGCATTCAACAGTGAAGGAGCTTTCATTTCCAAGACTGGCCCTGGTTTCTGTAAAGAGGTGCCTCTGGGCATTCTCCTTGAAAAACTGCAGTCTTTTAAGTGCTGGTGCCACAGGCAGCATGTCGGGTTAGGAATTGACCCAGTGACTACGAGGAATAGCAGTACCACTTGGCTTTGCTGCCCCATACCAGGCAAGCCACTTAACCTTAAGAACACATCTGGTGTGTCTTTTGACATGTACTTTCTCTCTGCTGTAGATTTATGTTCGGAGTACAGATATCGACCGAACTCTAATGAGTGCTCAGGCAAATCTCGCTGGTCTGTACCCTCCACATGGACATCAGATCTTCCGACCTGACCTTAACTGGCAGCCCATCCCTGTGCATACAGTGCCCTTGAAATATGAAAAAGTAAGTATCCCTAAGGCTGGAAATGTGGGGAAGCAGCACCTTCTGGGCTTGAGTTCCTCACACCTGAATCACTTCATGGGACAGTATGGGGACTCACCACCCATTGGTGCCTGGCATAATCCAGGGTCTCCTTCAATTTTTTGTGGTGCTGGTTGAACTCTTTTCACCCAAACTCTACTGAAAGTGATGTGTGTTGTTCCAGCTCCTCAGGTTCCCATTATCAAACTGCCCTCGCTATGAGAAGCTGTTGAAGGAGTCACTGAACAGCAAAAGAATTGAGAAAACGGTGGAAGAAAATCAGGCAAGTGTCATGAACTTGTTAGTAATGTCTATCTGTTTACACGCATCTGTAAAGTACCGGAATCAGTTTTGAAAATATTCTCAGTACATGGGCATCACTGGTAAGACGAGAATTTGTTACCCGCCCTGAATTGCCCTTGAACTGAGTGGCTTGCTTGGTCATTTGAAAAGGAACTTGAGCCCACCACATTGGGCACTGGCGCCAGATAAATGCAGGCCATACCAGTGGTGAAATCTCCAGAGTTGTGCTGAGGCCAGTGTTCTTGTCAGCTGCGAGTAAGACATAATTATAAACTGTAAGGGATCAAATTTGTAAAGATGTGGTAAATCAAAGGGTAGAGTCAAGGCCAAAGAGCTAGGTATTAATATGGGAAGTGTAAACGGAGTGCAACAGGGAGGGATAGAGAGTATAGATCTAAGAGTTAACCAAATAGTACAACAAGGATTTTCAAAGACAATGAAAGATTGAAACTATAGCCTATGTCTGAGCACACATGCTTTTGAAACAAAACTAATGAACAGAAATTGCAGATAAAAATGAGGAACTGCAATCCAGAGCTGTTACAGAGACATAACTGCAGGATGATATTGCTTGGGACCTGAATCTTGAAGGATACAGAATATTTAGGAATGGTTGGAAAATGGAAATGGTTTCTTTTGTATTCATTCAAAGGACGCGGGTGTTGTTGGTCAGGCCTGTATTTACTGCCTATTCCTAATTACACCGAGGGCAGTTAAGGTTGAGAGAGACAGATTTTCATTCAGTGAGGGAATCAAGGATAATGGGAGAAAAAGCAGGAAAGTAGAATTGAGGATTATCAGATCAGCAATGATGTCATAAACAAAGAAGACCCGATGAGCCCAATGCCCTACTCTGCTCCTATGTCTTATGAAAAGTTGAACAGGCTAGGCTTGTTAGAACATTGAACAGTACAGCATAGTACAGGCCCTTCAGCCCGTGATGTTGTGCCGAACTTTTACCCTAAACCTAAGGTCTATCTAACCTCCACCCCTACCTTGTACTATCATCCATATGCCTATCTAATAGCCGCTTAAATGCCCCTAATGAGGTCGACTCCACTACCCTCTCCGGCAATGCATTCCACGCCCCTACCACTCTCTGAGTAAAGAACCTACCTCTGATGTCTCCCCTATATCTACTTCCACTCACTTTAAAACTATGCACCATCGTAATAGCTATCTCCACCCCAGGAAAAAGTCTCTGGCTGTCCACTCTATCTATACCTCTGATCATTTTGTACACCTCTATCAAGTCACCTCTCATCCTTCGTCGTTCTAAAGAGAAAAGCCCTAGCTCTCTCAACCTTTCCTCGTAAGACCTTCCCTCCATTCCAGGCAACATCCTGGTAAATCTCCTGTGCACCTTTTCCAATGCTTCCACATCTTTCCTGTAATGAGGCGACCAGAACTGGACACAATACTCCAGATGTGGCAGAACCAGGCTTTTGTATAGCTGGAGCATAACTTCACGGCTCTTGAACTCAATCCCTCTATTAATGAAAGCTAACACACCATACGCCTTCTTAACAACTCTATTCACCTGGGTGGTAGCTTTCAGAGAACTGTGGACATGAACCCCAAGATCCTTCTGCTCCTCCACACTGCCAAGAATCTTTCCGTTAACCCTGTATTCTGCTTTCAAGTTTGTCCTTCCAAAATGAATTACCTCACACTTTTCAGGATTAAGCTCCATCTGCCACTTCTCAGCCCAGCTCTGCACCCTATCAATGCCCCTTTGTAACCTAGAACAGCCCTCCGCACTATCCACAACTCGACCCACATTCGTATCATCCGCGAACTTACTAATCCACCCTTCCACTCCTACATCCAAATCATTTACAAAAATCACAAATAGAAGAGGACCCAGAACATATCCTTGTGGTACATCACTCGTAACTGAGCACCATGTTGAATATTTTCCGTCCATTACCACCCTTTGTCTTCTAAGGGTCAGCCAATTCTGAATCCAATCTGGCACATTTCCCCCTATCCCATGCCTCCTTACTTTTTGTACGAGCCTACCATGGGGAACTTTATCAAACGCCTTACTTAAATCCATGTATACCACATTCACTGCTCTACCTTCATCCACGTGTTTGGTCACCTCTTCAAAGAATTCAATAAGGTTTGTGAGGCATGATCTACCCCTCACAAATCCATGCTGACTATCACGAATCAAACTGTGCCTTTCCAAGTGATCATAAATCCTATCTCTCAGAGGCCTTTCCAATAATTTGCCCACCACTGACATAAGACTAACTGGCCTGTAATTTCCGGGGTTATTCCTATTCCCTTTTTTGAACAAGGGAATGAGGTTTGCGTCTCTCCAATCTTCCGGCACTATACCCGTGGACAGTGTGGGTGAAAAGATCATCACCAAAGGTCCTGCGATCTCTTCCCTCGCTTCCCATAGAATCCTTGGATAAATCCCATCAGGCCCGGGGGATTTATCTATCTTCAAGTTCCTCAAAATTCCTGGTACATCTTCCTTACTAACATCGACCTCCTGTAGCCTACCAGCCTGTTTCACACTGTCCTCACCTACAACTAGGTCCCTCTCAGTTGTGAATACCGAAGAAAAGTATTCATTAAGGACCTCTCCTATCTCTTTAGGCTATGTGCACAAATTCCCTTTACAATCCTTGATCGGCCCTACCCTTTCTCTGGTCATTCTCTTATTCCTCACATTCGTGTAAAAAGCCTTGGAGTTTTCCTTGATCCTATCTGCCAAGGTTTTCTCATGCCCCCTTTTTGCTCTCCTAAGCCCTTTCTTCAGCTCCTTCCTAGCTAACTTGTATCCCTCTAGAGCCTTTTCCGTTCCTTGTTTCCTAAACCTTATATAAGCAGCCTTCTTCCTCTTAACCAGTCGTTTGACATCTCTTGAGAACCAAGGTTCCCTCACTCGACCACATCTTCCCTGCCTGCTCGGGACAAACATATCGAGCACATACAGTGTGCATTCTTCAAACAATCTCCACATTTCAAGAGTGGTCTTCCCTGACAGCATCTGTTCCCATTTTATGTTACCCAGATTTTGCCTAACAGAATTGTAATTACCCTTCCCCCAATTATAAACCTTACCCTGCTGTATGTACCAGATCTGTATCTGCCAGAGTTTAAAACAGTAAAAGGAACTTGATTAAAACATATAAATCCTGGAGGATCTTGATAGACTAAATGTGGAGAGGATGGCTCCTGTAAGAATCCAGGTCATCCAATTAAAACACATGAGGCAACATCTTTTCTATCTGAAGTCATGAGATTTTGGAACTCTCTTCCTGAAAAAGGAGTGAAAGCAGAGTCTTTGAACATTTGTAAGATAGAGTTGAATAGATCCTTGTTAGGCAAGGGGGTGAAAGGTCATTGAGGTGGGTGGAACATACAGTCAGATCAATCACGATCAAATTAAATGGTGGAGTTTGTTTGAGGGCCAAATGGCCTACTTCATGTTTGCGCAGTTTTGAGGGATTGTTGGTTGTGAAGATGATACAAAGGGATGTGCATAGAATCAGGAAGTAGATTATGATTTAGCAGATGGAACATAATGTGGGGAATGTGAAGTTGTCCACTTTATCGAGAATAAAGAAAGCAGAATATTACTTAAATGCAGAATCATGCAGTACAGAGGGACCTGATTCTCAAGAAATTAACATGCAGCTACATTACTTAATTAGAAAAGCAATAGAATGTTTGCCTTTATAAAAGGAGATTTGCTGTATAAAAATATGGAAATCTTGCCACAACTGTAGGGGGAATTAAGGAGACCACACTTAGAGTATTATGTATTGTTTTGGTGGTTGGCCTTGAGCAGGCATGCACTTGCACCAGAAACAGTTCAGAGAAGGCTGGGTTCAGAGGTTTGACTTAAGGGGAAAGGTTGAGTAAGTTGAATCTGTACCCACTAGGGTTTAGAAGAATGAGGTGACCTCATTAAAACATAAGATCCCTTCCTGAGGAACTTAATAGAGGGACGTTAAGACAATGTTTCCCCTTGTGAGAGAAACTAGAACTTAATTTAAAAGTAAGGGATCTTCCATTTAAGTTGGCAATGTCTAGGGCTATCTTTGGAATTCTTTTCTCTAGGGAGCAGTGTATGCTGAGTCAATGGATATATCAAACTCTGAGTTAGAGAGATTTCTTACATGTAGGGGGTTGCATGTTACGGAGTATGAGAGGGCATGTTGTGGCTGAGGAGTTGGATCAGTTGTGATCTTATTGAATAATTGGGCAGGCTCAAGACCCGCCCCTTTTCATCCATCAATAAGAAAGAAAAAAGAACCTTGAGATATGGGATTGCCAATAGAAATATATCTGTTTTCTTCCTGTCTCTCTCTTCACTCTTTCTTCTTTGCTCCCCCTTCTGCCTTTCTTTCCTTCTCTCTTTTCTCTTATTCTTTCTCTTCAAAAGTGTTCAAGTGGATCGCGTTGTAGGGTGAGGGCAGCTTGGGGGACAATAGAAGAAGTGACCTCAATCTTTCAAACCTCTTTGGCTATCTCCACGCCTCGCTGGGATAGTACACTGGAAATAGAGCCCTACTGTTAGGAAGGGAAGGTCGAGCCCCTCTGATAATTAAAATTGAAACACAAGCCCCCAATCTGTTACAGCCAAAGTAGAGGTCCCCTTCTAACAATTAAACCCGAAACACCCAGAGAAGCTTGCCTCATCTCGCCTAATCTGTGAAAGAAGAGTGGTTAAATGAAAGAAAATCCCTGATATTCACTTTGTAAGCAACACGTAACAATTTATTTATTTAATCCTAACGGTGAACAAATTAACAGAACTATTAATAAATTGAACAATTTCCCCTTAATTACTAACTATTCCCTAACTGAACAAAATTCTACTGGTATGCTGTTCCAATAAACACAAGGCCCACTTATATAAATCCAAGTAATGAGAAAACTACATTAAAACCTAGAATCTCAAAGTCCATACAGGGTGTGTCTTCTGGAATGTTCTGCCTTCTCCACTGTCTGTCC